TCAAATAAATAATGGGCTGCCATCGTTGGGCACCAGGGGAGCAGTGTGGAGTTAAGGGTCTTGCTTAGGACTACCCAAAAGAGTTTTTGTCTATTGAAATAGAATGGATTATTAATGAGCTACAACAGAGTATAATCATAAACCAGTCTAAAAGACTGTACAAAAAAGAGCTTATTGAAAAATATATGTGCTACTCAGTTACACAGTCGGTAGCACTGCTGCCTTGCAGCTGCCTTACAGCAAGACGGATCTGGGTTCGATTCCCAGAGATTCCCATGGAGTTTGCATGGTCTCCCTGAGCATGCGTGGTTTCTCTCTGGGTACTCCAGCTTCCACCCACAGTCCAAAAACATGACTGTTAGGTTAACTGGTTTCTCTAAATTGTCCTTAGGTGTGAGTGTGTGCGTGAATGGTTGTTTGTCCTGTTCTTCTCTGTGTTGCCCTGCGATGAACTGGCAACCTGTCCAGGGTGTACCCCGCCTCTCGCCCGTAGACAGCTGGAGACAGGCACCAGCAACCTTCACGAGCCCACTTGGGATTAAGCGTGTAAAGAAAATGGATGGATGGATGGATGGATGGATGGAAAATATGTTATATAGTATGGGTGTATCATTGGCCAAGAATGTCACAGAGGATGTTAATTGTTAGAGTGATAATTATAAAATTATTGTGTGGACATATGAAACATTGAAAGAAAGAAGATGCTACATTTGTATCCTGTGATTCAACCAGAAGGGTTTTTACTTTTATGACCTCCAGCAGGTCATGAGGCAGAATCACACGGTTGTGTGACTTCCATCCAGCCAGTTGGTCAATACACACTATCTTATTACCTGCATCCTCCCACATAATCATTACTGGGTCTTCTGTTTTAGGCCCGCCTTATGATGTTGTAAACTCTTAATAAAAGGCTTTGCCATGAAGGGATCTGTGTGAGAAGGTGCTGGTTTTCCGAGCCATCAGCTTCTCTCCGCTCTGCAGACGCTGACGTCACAAAACCCTGTCTCTGTGTTGATTATTTCCTTTTAATCTTTTAAACTCACATTTCTCTGGATTAAAACCCAACATGAATAATATGTAATTAACTGCACATTGAATAAGGGAAAGGTAAGGTTTAATATGTGGCTACTCTAAGGGTCCTGTGTATGGAGAGACTGATAATTATTTATTAGTTTGTATGAGAGGGGCAGGACATTATAACATCTTGTATTTTTCCACCTGTTCATTTTAAAGCAAATTGTATAAAAAAGTACTATCACTATTGTCATTTTTTGTTTTTTTCCTATTGTTTGAAATAATTACTATGAAATTAATTAACTAACACTTTTCTTGGTGTTTGCAGCTGAATGTCCTGCTTTTTTTCTCAGCATAAATAGATAAAGCTTTAACAACTTGTACTAGAAGTAGGGGACGTCAAATATCCTTATGTTCAAATATAATGAAAACAAAGAGACTATTGCATGTTTTTTTTTCACATACCTACACCTTATTGCAGATCATGGCTTTATAGGATAATAATAACTATACAAATCTGATATAACCTAGTTATTAAGCTGGGCTGTCTGCTCAAGCAGCTATCCTGCAGTTGGCTGCTTAAAAGGCATGTTGCTAAGGTTCTTATACTGAACCAGATTTTTTTTTATATCTCCAAAAAGAATGCTTTCTAAATGGTATATTGTGTGGTAGAAGAGGTCCCTTTATTAATATAAATTACTCATTGATCGCACATATGCAGGAGTCCAAGGTCCCTGTCTCCTGGAGTTCAGATGCTTTGTGCAAAGTCAGGTCCCCCTGTTACATTCGATTGTCAATACTGACTGATAAGATGAGACTAAACAAAATGCAAAATGTTTTTCAAAAATAAAGCCGGGCAGTACAGTGTATACCACAGTCTTTAAACATAACTGAAACAATTTCACAGAGGAAAGAAAAGTGAAAGCAAGCCTGAGGATAAATCTAGTTAAATGTGCTACCACTGACCCAGATTCACAAGTAAATGAAGTAGCATGTGAGAACGCCTGAAGTCAGACTTGTTAGTGAGCTTTCGCTGTGTAAACAGGGACTACTATTGTAACCTTGGGAGTTATACTGCTGCCGTGGGCGTGCAGTGCTGCAGAAACATCATAAAGTGATGAAACTACCATCAGCTTGTTACAGGATCCCTTTTTCTTAAATATTTCCCAGTCCTTTCCAGTTTCTCCGAAGATGTTAAACCACAGAAACAAAACCATCGCCTTACAGTCGGCAGTGGAAAAGCTGTTTCTTTCTAATGTCCTTTAGGAGCAAAACAATACGAAATGAAAAGTAGACTTTGGGTCTGCTGATATTTCTATAATAGAGAATATTATCTGAAGAAGGGGTGGAGGTGATGGGGAGAGTAGCCTGACTTCAAAGGAGATGTCATGCCATTCACACCACAGGATGGTCTCTATTTTCTTCTATTCTTAGAATCCTTAACACCTTCCTGGCCATCTGGAGAGGAATCACAGTGATTTCCTACAAAACTGCACATCTTAACCTATTTTCTATGTTTTGAATACTGGAAAACCAGCAGTTATGGAAATTTTCTTCAGCAGTTTTCTTTAACTTGTTGTGCTGGATTCTAATAGGAAATACCAGGAATGTTGATGTGTATTCTTTTATCTTCATCTTCTTGTTGCTTTGTTTGTTTTCCTGTTATGATCTGTCCCAGTTTGTTTAAATCAGATTTAAATAATGTCTGACCAAAAAAAAGTAGGACTTCTAAATTTCACAATGTTCCTTCTCACTGTTATACGATTACGTTTACTGTAAGATCTCCAACAATCTCAGCAATGAAAATAAAGCATAAGGGTCCACTTTGTTATTGTCAATTCACATTTTCATTACTGGGAATAGAGGACAAAGTTATTTAGAAGATTTTCAGCATGCCTGTGCACTCTACTCAACAGATTTTCTTATACACTTTTTTATTTATTTATTTTTTATTTTTTTGGCACTTTATAAGAAAGTAGACTAAAAGATATGGGGTTGAGAGAAACAGAACAAAAAACTGCAAAAATCCATGGGCTGGGACTGCCAAGAGAAATACTCAGAAATTAGAATTGATAGAGTATTATTGTTTAGTTTGTAGTTCTGCGAGGTGCTTTGGTAAACAACACAATAAAATATATTGATGATTATTTTCATTATGATTTTTAAATATATTATTATGATTTTCTCTATCTCCATCGATTTTAACTGTTTCTTCCTTTTAAAGCTGGTTGTAGCTTGTAGCACATGGAACAAGTTTATTCAGTTGGAGCAAATCGAACTAGTGTCCGCGTCTAATCAGTTGCAAATGCATCTTTGCAGATCAAAACATGCAGCTAGTTTACCAATATTTTGGGGGAGGTTGTGTTTCTTATTTGCATGAAGATCAGGCCCTTAGAGTTTATATATACTCATCTTTTGACTTACCTGACAAGTTGCTGCTTAAACACCAACAATTTCCTAACTAAAAGCTATTCTTATTCCATGTCCAGTATTGCATTTCATTTTATTCAGATTTATGGTAATTTGCAGTTAAAGGGTTGAATGGTCTAAGAAAAAACTGTAGGAAACCTCTTCTCAGTAATACTGTCCAGTTTATTCTTGTGCATCACAAGGTGTTCTCAGACTAGAACTGACATTAAGTAAGTACCTTCCAGCTAGTTCCAAGTCAGTTCCAGGGTCTCTAGATGATCTCCACAGGAAGCTGCTTAGAAGGGATTCAGATTGGATGCTATAATCATCTAAACTGACTCCTGCAGCAGCAGCTCTAATCTAATAAAAGAGTTAATCTCTTAATGTCTCTAGCATTCCTGTTTGCGTATATTGATGGTGGTGATCTTTATTGTAGCCACAGCTGCCTAAGGGGATGCCATACATTGGCACCAGCGGACCCCCTGAGCAAGTGGCACACTTAACCATTTTAGGGCACCAGGCAAACCTTTAAGTCTGCCCTAATGTCCCACTCAGCCCTGAGTGTGAAAGATGCTGTGGAGCTGCTACAATTTTCATAAAGCAAAACTTTAAACCAGATAGTTTACGAAATGTGTCTGTAATTCCTTATCTGCACTCCACAGCTAATGAATCAGAGACACAAACCCACAGCTTTCAGTAACAAATATGCATATTTTTGAAGTTTTTATATTTTTTGATATTTTGAAATATCCTTCTATCGCTCTTCTGGGGGGAAAAAAGCTATTACTGCATTAATTTGATATAAATAATATATAAAGTTCAAAATGTTTTTGAGCCATATACTCTTTGCTGTAAATTATTTTGAGTCAAAAAAAGTTGAAGTTCTCTATATACGTTTAACTGTTACTCAGGTGAAATTCCCTCTGTTCTCTGTTCCTCATGATGACCCTGATGTTGCTTATTAGAAAAAAAAAAACTCTGGCTATCGGGCCAGTTTCTGTCTTTTAAATAATGTTGCCATTTTTTTTACAAATTCATTTTTGTGTTATTTAATCTCACACTTTTCAGCTCTGTTTCATATTCTTCCTTCTTAGTCTTCGACTGCTTGTTCCAGTGCCACACTGCATTTCACGATATTTTAATTTATGTGATAAGATGGATTAGTCCGTTTTAGTACATTGAAGGAGCAGAAGTCTGTTAGGAATTTTGCAATGTTTCATTTCATTGTTTGTACAGTAAAAATTATTATTTTATTTCAAAGGGTAAGGGTCCCCATGTGGTTTCCTATCTTACCTGTATAGCAGGTCTGCCCCTGGTCTAACTACCAAGGCTTGATAGTGAAGCCAAGCATTTTTCCCAAGGACACAACGCCAGAGGCAGATAGGTCAAGGGGTCTGGAACCGGCAACCCATCGGTTACCGAGTGAACCTCTACCTTTAGATTTTTTTTCTTGTATTTGTGCTTTTCCATGACGGTCTCTGTCAAAGGTTTGTGGTTTGCTTGATGGGGGGGATGGTCAAAGTCAACATCTTAATCAACAAAAATTGTACCTTGCATACCTTCATTTGAGTCAAATATAGACTTAAGTCATCTTTATCATTACTGAGGCTTTAAGGTAAGGACAACATACAGAAATTGCACAGGGAAAATATACAATATAGTGCGATATGGTACTTGTTTAACTGATGAATTAAACATGGTTGATAGGTCTACTCTACATAAGGAAAATATGAAAACATTAAGTAGATGAGAGAACATTTTATAATGCATTCTTGTTTCTTGCTGAGGTAACAGTTGAGTTCATCAGAACTACAAAACAATGAAGCAAAAATTAAAACAGAACTACAATAGCAGTGATAATTTACTGCTGTTATAACTACCCACATATTTTAGGATTGGTTTACTCTTTGCTTTCCACAAAGCTTTCAATCTCACTCTTAACTAGGGCAGTAATGGGGCGTGCTTTGGTGGCGCAGTGGTTAGTGCACACAACCCATGTATGGAGCCCTTAGTCCTTGACGCGGGTCGACCTGTGGTCCTTTCCTGCATGTCTCTCCCACTCTCTCATACCCCCTTTCCTGTCAGCCTACTGTCCATAAAAACGAGCCACTAGTGCCGTAAAAATAAAAAAAAACAAGGGCAGTAATTAAGGAAACATTAAACCTATCTACATTCACAAAGCTCTATATTTATGTGATAGTATTCCTACATTTTCTATAGTTTGTCAAATTACCACCACAAGTTTTAATGTATTTATGATCTTATATCATTGGCAGTTAAAAATAGTGAATGATCATAAATTTAAAAAGAAAATAATTGATGTTTTTTTAACAAACTAAATAATAATATCTGAAAATAGTGGAATGCATTTATATTCAGACCCTGTAAAACTGTGATACCCCCAAATAAATCCCAACTATTGTCTTAAGTTGTCACAAAATTAGAAACCCATGTGAGAATGTTGTTGGGGAAGATAGATGAAGAAATGACATAATGGCAAAAGAATCGAACATTTAGCTCAGGAACACGTGGAGAAATTTAAAGCAGTGCTTGGTTAGAAAACAATATATAGGGCTTTAAACTTCTCAAGAATGTTCCACATTTCAGACTTATATTCAGGAAAGAATCAATGGTAAGACCAAAAGAAATGTTTATAGATGGTGTCTGTCTAGTGTGACAAAGTTTTGCAAAAAAGAAAATATAAATTCCAGGTTCTTTGAGTGCAAAACTGATATAAAATACACAAAAGATTTTCAGCTGTGACTGTAGCATAAGTTTTATCTAAAAAAAAAAAAGGTAATCCAGAGATTTCACTACAACTGCAATCCACACTTTTCAGATATTTAATTATAAATGAAAGAAAATAAAAAAGTCTATTTTGTTATTTTTTCCATATTCTAATTACATACTGATTTGTGTCATATCTGGTTGTAATGTGGACAAATATGAAAAAGAGCAACAATGTTTGCTTGATTCATCCACAGAGAAACAAACCAGGTGAAGGAAATGCTTTTGTCCATTCACTATGTCCACTAAAAGGGGAGGCTTCCTTTTTATTCTTTAATAAAACAATCTAACAACCAGTTCCCTTTATGTTCCTTTTCGGACATCCTGGAATATTTCCAAGTGGACGGATCAGTAACATCAATGCCACTTGTCAGAGTACCTTTCCCTTCCTTCTCTTCATAAGAAGTGGTTTTAAGTGGTTTTCCTCATTCTGTTCCACTAACTGAGGGCCATAAAAACATCACCGTTCCCCTCCTCCATCTATAAAGCCATATAAGGTAGCAGACATGCCTGAAAGTCTTACAGCTGCGGCAACTCTGCAATGTTTGCACAAATACACTAATGCCTTAGTCATTAGTGTGGTGTCCTCCTGTATGTCATTTTGCACACATTTTTTAGATGCATTACTGCATTATTTATTGCAGACATCTTAGGTTGTGGAGAATATCCCATAACTTGTCTCCTGTTGTTCACATAGGTTGTTGTTGCTTCTGTTGCACACTGAAAATCAAGTCTGTAGTGCTAAAGTGAATGGCCAAGTCAGGAGCAGAGTGTTGCAGTAACGGATCAGGAGGGAGGCATTCATTTCCCAGGTGCAGATAGGATTCAGCGCTCATACATAAGCTGTGTTTTCTTTTTATCTTTCGAGGTGGTGTTTTCTCTTGGCTCTATGTGCATACACAAAATACATACTGTGCCCAGTACTGATGAATATAACAGAAATGATAACAAGGATGCCAAAGTGTTGAGGTTGTGGAGCAGAAATCACCATGATGAAGTGAAGCAGGTCCATTAGGTAATTCATAGAGCTCTGCACCCCATTTACTACTCCTCGTTCTGACTCACAGATGGTCTCCTGCAAAAGCTGGGTCACAGTCAGGTCAAAGCACCACAAACCTGAAAGCACAGATACATTTATTGTTGATCCTCAACCATACCCTCAATTGTATCTTCTGTTTTCTAACATTACAATCCTATAAAAAAACTTTTTTTCCTTGCACAGTATGGAATGCATCAGTACAACGCAGTGTCTCAGATAAAATACAAAAGCATGTGGAGGGAAAATTATGCAGATTCTTTGCATATAAGAATATACATGTACTTTTTAACAGACCTTTTTGAGTTGATGCTATATGCAACCTTTTTTGCAGTGGAAGTCTTTTGAGTTATCTCTGTATCAGCTTTTCACTTATAGAGGGTACAATTCTCCAACATCTTTGCAAAATATCTCAAGCTCTGTCAAATTAAATGAATAGGTTCTGTGAATGGAAGTCCAATTTTTCTTAATTAAAATCAGGTCTGGAATTTACATTATTCTCGCAAATGCTTTAAAATAATTCTTAACTATTTTTGTAGCCCCAGCTGTATATTTAAGATAATTGACTTGTTGGAATCTCAAACCAAACTCAAGTCAGTGAAGCTTTTCTCAGTTTTTTTCTTCAATTGCTGTCTTGTATTAACCTCCCACTTTTTCTCAAACCAACCAAGCTTTGCTTTTGCTGAGGAGAATAGTATTCCTACTGGAAGATGCTGATAGTGAAACATTTTACTGTACAATAGATGTGTTCAGGGGTCCTTTTCACGAAGCAGGTTTAACAAACTCAGATTCAAATCCCCAACTCTAAACTGACCTAGCCTAAGGTCAGAAACTCTGAGTTTTCTGGTTTCACAATGGCTGCTATGAATTAGTTTAATCAACTCCAAGTCAAAACTTCAGAGTTTAACACGTGCGTAACAAGTATCAAAAGCCATTATCAGTGGAGCACTGATTCGACGAGTCACCATGACAACAGGCAACAGGAAGTACCTATTTCACCCCACAAAAATTTGAGATTTTGATGCAGAAACGAAAAAATAAAAAAGGACAATGTGTTTAAAAGACAGAGAAATAGCGCAACAGCTACAAAGGAGAGAATGATGGCGAAGGAGAAGATTGTTGCTTGATTTGATGCATAAGTTTATATGAATTGGGCTATGTCAGGCCCTTTCTACATTTGTTAAAATAACTTTTCTCTCTGTTGCTCCATTTGTAGATCACTAAAATAAGATTCTTCCTGATAAAAATCACACTCCTAGACTGAACAGTAATAATATATTTTCTAAATTTTATTTTTGTAGCAGAAACTGAATCATAGAAAGTAAAAAAAACAAAATCATACTAGTAAGAAATAAGTTTTATAAATCTAGAAATTGTTATACATTTTAAGTGTCTGTTTTGACATTTATCAGCATGACTGAATACGTATTTATATTTGAAATCCATATTTTCATAGTTAAAATAATTGCTGACCAGTAATATTAGGAATATGGAGATCCGGAGAATGTCATTTCATTTAAAATTGTCATTTAGACAAAGAAAAATTTTTTTTTTTTAGATATCAGGACTACATATTCATTAAAACTAGTACAATAAAACTGCCATAGTCTGTTGCGACCGTGATATATGTATAGGATTATTTCTTGAATGGTAGTAGATCAATGTGCCTATTTAGGTGTAATCTTATGGCAGCAGGTGAAAATGAAGTCTAAAAAAGTTCTAATATGTAGAACCTGTGTATCATAATGGGTCCCTCCTCATGTTGATTCCGTCGTTGTTTTTTTTACCCAGAAAATAGTAAGTGGCTGTTTGCAGCCACGCTTCGGATGTTATCATCTCAATAAATGGTTGTTAAGCAGCTATTAATCCCATAGAATGGCTTAAGACTGTGTCAGTAGGCCTAGTAGGTTGTAATCCTAATCCAAAAGTAATTCCTTTTCCCCCCTGAAAAATGAATGAATATATTTATGTGTAATGTGGAAATAATTTCAGTACTTCTTCATGTACTGTAAATATAACTACATAAATTAAATAAAATTATCCGCATCTCACTCATAGTAAACAAACCAAAAACAAGTAATCTCATGCCCTTTCAACTGAGTTGTAGAATCCTCTCCCTATAAATATTTAATTCTCTTTGAAATAGTGCCGATCATTGTTTAATAAGGTCCTCGTCAAACGGACATGCAATGTTTGCTTTTAAAACCTAATGTGTCTAACGTAACAAACCTAGTCAACGATATATATATATTTTATGTACAGAACTATGACAAAAATTGTACTAAATTAGGAAATAAAACAACATGATTGGCTGTGACTAGAGCGGAGACTAAGGAAAATCTGAGTTTACTGAAGAAACCTGCTACCAACCAGGCTAGCTCTGGGGTGAATGCTACTACGGTGACTGAAACAGAGGAAAAGTCATAGTTTCCCTTCTTTCAGGTTTAGAAAACTTAGAGTTTTCTGTAAACCTGCTTTGTGAAACGGATCCCAGCTTAGTATGCATGGAGCTAAAGAGTGACAACTTGCATTCACAAGAATAATAGAATAGAACATTGAAAAAATAAACAGAAGAAATTCAAACAATTAAAAATTTCATACACTGAAAAGACAAATATTGAAACACTTCAAATGAAATGTCAGACAATAAAAAGTCAACACTGAAAATACAAACATTGAAAAATCTAGAATTACTATGTCTGGGAATAGGGTTTTGTGTTGTCTGTTTTAGTTCCGCAGGTTCTCCACTTGAGGGTGTTTTGGAGACTGCTGTTGGTGGGGTCTTATTATTTGCAGGTGCGGTCCTCTCACAGCTGCAGCACATTACTGGCCTAATCAGAGCTGTCTATGAAGAGCAGTTTCCCATCCCTTGTTGCCTTGGTGTTAACCTTTCATGGTAAATATCAAGCCACCCTTTGAGCCTGTAATGACCTCTTTGTGTGCCTAAAGTAACTCTCGTGTTTATGCTGATTTTCTTCATGAACAACATCCCTCCTCCTGTGAACCTTACCTTGTTCTTATTGATCTCTGTTGTCAAAGCTCCAGTCTGGAAACCAATCCTTTTTCTCACTGCCCCAGTGTTACAGCAGCAGGTATCTTAAATTCCACCTGCCCTCTGTGAAAGAACCAAGAATCAAGACTCTTACCTTCGCTATGACAACCCTCCACCTCACAAACCGCTGACCACCACCTAAAGATTATGTCCAGTATCACAGGTAAGCAATTCAGTAAACTATCTTCAAGATCCTGCATACCTACAGTATCTATTCATTCCAGAGGCCCTGGCCTTCTAAGGCACTGTTTCTATTTGGACCTGAATTACAATTTTGCATTTCATTATTCTGTACCACTACACTTCTTAACTTTCTTTTATTGTATCCTGGGAGCTATTTCTGCCAGGCAAAATCACCCATTAGAAGCTCTCAGGAGAATATTCTTCGACTGAGCAACTCTTATCCAAAATCATGATGCTATTCTCTCTAAGACATACAAGCAGCTACAAATCAAGCTTTGAACCCCTGTTTTAAAAACATTTCTCCAAACAATGCCACAAAGAATATTAATCTACCAGAAGGAGCCAATGTCTCATTTGAGCAACTCCCTTCTACTCAGCCTGCAAGCTACTGCAATGTCACCCCACCAACTGGAAAACTTCTCAGATGATGGTGGGAAATGCAGACGTTGTCTTTTACAGTGGGCACTCATTTTTAATCATTAAACCATGTCTTTTCCCAGTGCTGTGTCCAAGTTTTCCTATGTGCTAGGTTCACTAGCAGAGTAGAGGCCCTGTTTCAGATCACCCTAGATTTGGAATAATAACTTTTTAATAATAAAATAATAATAACTTTTTACAAATTTTTGATGAATTTTAAATGTTTTCGTCAATAGATTGACCATGAGACACTATCCCAAGGAATATGGAAATTAAGGCAAGGTCAAAGTACCATTGTTGTTTTCTCTTTTGAGTTCTGCACTAATTGCCCTCGGCTGGAACTGTGGTGCACCTAAGAGTGTATTTTTTACAAAATCAATGAAAATATTAAAGATTATCTACTGTATCTCTTATTAATGAACACAATGATTTAGATTAGCTAATTTTTAGCCATTGCCATATAAATGGACATTTGAGGAAAAGGAACAGAAAAAGGGCATTTTGCGAACCAGCTCATATTCCTGGGTCTACCACTAATCCTTCTCCACCATTGGCCACATATACTGTAGTCTTGGGTATAGTCTTCTTTGCATCTATGAAAGATGGTACCCTCGGTGGGCTAAACCAGTTTACCAGTAAACGTAAAAAATTGCTACCCTTTACTAGGGGTGGGTATTGCCAAAGACGTCACGATTCGATTTGAATCACGATTCATATGCCATGATGCGATTCTATCACGATGCATCACGATACTTGAATTATTGCGATGCATTGCAATATTTTCTCCTCCATGTTTTGTTTTTGAATGACTCGTCGCAGTATCCCATGGCCGGAAATGCTTGTGACACAAGGCAGCGTGCGTCAACACATCCACAGCAACATCTACTGGACTGGAAGTTGTATTACACTTGTTTTTGGCTGATGTTCGCCAACCATTCATGCAATTTTATTTATACATTTTTTAAAATAATAATCGATACTTTGCGTCAAGAATCGATGCAGTAGATCACGAAAATTAGAATCACGATGCATCATCATGACGATTATTTTGCACACCCCTACCCTTTACCACTCATTTCATTAATCATCGAGCCTCTCCACACTACCAAAATCATCACCAAACCATCTGCATCCATCAGGGAGAGTAGCAAAGACAGTATTCAAGACACCATTAGAAAATGTTCAATATTAATGACTAAACCAGGAACTCAAGATGCTCTCCACTGCCTTTGCATAGACAATCCTATGTACTGGAGTCAACACCTTTACTGGGTGGTGTATGCAGATATTTCCTACATCTTAACAGGTTCAGGCTTATCTCTTTATAAGGCCACTCTTGGATATTGATAGTCTTTCCTCCCTTCCATTAGAATTCATCTGCTTCGTTGCCAAGGGTTCTGGGACAACACAATGGCTGCCCTTCAGCGT